GGCTCCCCCTGGCACTTAGTATTTTCTTCCTCCTAGTCCGGCTGTCATTTACGCCCAGAGCCTCATCGCCTTGGAACTGAATTATTGCAGTAGTTTCTTTGCTCCTGTAGTCTTCCCGCAAATTCATTCTGCCCAGGCCTGCCAAATTTATCTTTTTTAAAGCACTGTTTTAATTACGTCATTCCCCTGCTCAAAAGTTTTCAATGACTCCCCATCACCTGGAGGCCAAAGGTCAGAGTCTTCAGCTAGAATCAGAGCCGCTGGCTATCTGGGCGCACCTCCTTTTCCAAGCTTGTCTTTCCAGGTTCCCCTGCACAAGCCTGCGGCATGCGAAATGCGTCTGCTGCCTGGCCAGGTCCGCCCTCTCTGCCTAGTCAGTTGCCTTGTTCTGTGAGGCCCCTTTCACTCCTTTAACCCACAGTCAGCTCTTCCAGCCATGACATGGTAGCACTCTTTTCTTTTTTAAAGTTAAACATGATTTATTTCACTGTTGCAAAGTTATTTAACTTCAATTTGTGTTGCTTAATAATGGTTTCCATGTCTTTTCTCCCTAATTAATTTACAAAGCTTTTTGAGGTCAGGAGTGTTTGTGGTCGTATTCTCTGCCCATCTTCCTAGCGCTCAGTTATGAAGTAGCTGGCAATCAGTAACACTTGTTTAATGAATGAATGCAAACTGCTGATCCAGGCTTCTCATAAGAGTAGGAGGAAAGCTATTCAGTTGTGTTTGTTACTTGTGGTATTCAGAACAGCAATTTATGTGTGTGAGGCGGTTTTCCTGAGTTTCATAAATCTGTTTTAATTTTTAAGTTCTTAGTAAAATTCTTGATTATAAAATAGAAACTGAGTACATGAGAGTTATAATGTTAAGATCTGACTTTAATGTAAACTTGAGTACCAACAGAATAAATACAAACAGGTGCATATTTGTTGAATTAGTACTAATTTTCTAAAAGTTCCTTACTAACAGAAAGTTTAAGAACTTCTAAACAAAACGGAAATCACTTGAAGAATAAATTCAGAGAAAACAGATAACTATGCAGCAGTCCAGAGTCTTTATTTTATAAATCAAGCACATACTTGTACTTTATCTTACAATATTCTTAAGAAACAAGATGGATTTTGGAACTCGACAAGACTTGACTTGGGAACTCAGTTCTGCTACTTATGAGGTGTGCCATTGTATGTCAGTAATTCATGCCTTGGAACCTTAAATTTCTCATGGGCAAACGGGAAGATTAATATTTAATTCATTTGAAAAACCCGAGATGAAGAAACCTCTTTTGAGCTGTATATGAGGATTTAGGATTTCAAGTCCCTAGGGCACGTGGCCCAGGACATAGCACATTATTTTTGTTTGGGATTTTTTTTCCTCCTTCCCATCCTTTACAGAGGCATCTGACTTCCCTAACAGTTAAAGAACATGAACATAGGAGTCTCAAAGTTCTGGGTGCGAATCGTGGCACTACCATTTTATTAGTTTACTAAACTTTTTTAACCTACCTGAATCCTAAGTGTATAGGAGGACATCTGGGGAAAATAAAATCTGCTTGCAGGGCCACTCTGAAGACTAAGAATGTCTGTTTTAAAGGGTCTAGCACAGAACAGGCACTCTGTGAATAGCAGATACTGTTACAATTCTTATGAGTCTTCTCCCAGGTCAGTACCATCCTATGATGAACTGAAGAACTCATGCTCACTAATACACTTCAAGTAACAGAAGTAGAACATTTGTCTCTATTATACTTCACAACTTTACAGAAAACCATAATTTGATATAATAAAAGTTATTCTTATAAATAATATTTGTATAGTGACATAGTTGAAAAGATGCCCTTATAACTTAGGAATACACTGTTATATTATATAACTTAGTGTATTCCTACACTACAAATATTCCTCAAATTAGCCATTTGTTGCTGTATTATAATATCAATCATTATCTTTTCAACTCATTCTGCCTTCAAGGTACTCAATAATTAACAATAATGATAAACTTCAAATATTAAAGAGGATATTAAAGTAGGTTAAATGTGTTATTATCATAGCGTATATTTTTCAAAATACTTGACAGTTAAAATTGGTCAGATGAAATTGAGCAATCGATCATAGATTCACCCATCTCAGCAGTATACCTTGGAAGTAGAGGCTTCCTCTAGGTGAGCTTTGACAAAAGACACGTAGGAAAGTGCCTTCTTATTTCTCTTTGATTTCTTGAATACTGAATGAAATATCAGTTAGGTTGCCTGTTCTCATTCAGGTTAAAACACATCTGGTAGGTGGTTTCTGGAACTTATCATGTAATCAAAAAAAGGAAAGAATATGGTATATTCTTATATTAAAATTTTCAAAACTCTAAATACATACATTAGGCCATAGGCTGAGATTAATTATTATCTATATTCAGTAGGAATGCAATTACATGCTAAGAAATGGAAAGCACTTTACCATATTATAACACTGGACTATTTTTTAACTATCACAGCAAGTGAAGCACATGCTTATTAACTCATCAAATACACCTATTTCCCTTCCATATTTATGAAGTCAGAACAAACAAGACATCAGCAACCAATGAAGTGCCATTAATTCTTTGGAAAACTTTTGAAGAAATTGTTTCAAGAAGCAGCAGTCTGGGTCCCACCGAGACCCTTAGGGGTTGTGGGTGCTCTGGGAGGGTACACGTGTAGTTTAGAACTATGTATCTAAGGACAGCATTACTCTTAATCCTTCAGATGAGTAGCCTGCCATACAACAATTCCTAATACAAGGTATTGGGCTCCAAAGGCAACAATTCCTATTTCTAATGTTTTATCCTATATAGCCAGTTCTTGGTTTACTGGTTACAGTCATTATAGCCACATCATAAAACATGATACAACATATTATAAGAGTAATCCATAACTAAACAGCCTTGGGTCGGCACTGGTGCTAGAGAAATCTTTTCTAGGTCTGCTCCCAGAATTCCTCCACAGGCTTGGTGTTGCTTTGTCTTTGGACTTCACTCCCTCTCACTGCTTTAACCTTCTTCCCCCCCATCACCTGCTAAGAATTGCAAACCTTTTGGAGACTTCTTAACTATTGGTTATATTTACCAGACCCGAAATTATAGTTTGTGTTTCTTGCATCAATGATAATTGCAAAGCCATTTACAAATAAATGATCTTGATACTCATAATAACATCATATGAGATAAGGAAGCTGAGGCATGAGGAGGTTATAAAGTACCTGTGAGTCCCCTGAAGTTACTGTCAAGGATCTGCCTCCTGACTCTGAATCCGGGCCTCACTCTACCCGCATGCATCTTTCTGCTTCATCATTTTTTGCTTTTTGCATTACGGTTGCAGTGCAAATTCTCTTTGTGTGATTTTTAAATATGTTGGTTAAACTTTTTGAATTTTAGCTCTTTTGTTAGTGAATGAAGGATAACAATACTTCATCAGGGATTTTGAGGGTTAAATACAATGAGGTTTGCAAAGTTAAAAAAAAATACAGTAGAATAAGATAAGCATTAAAAAATGTTAGTTCTTCCAAACTTCATGGCAATACTGATCTAAAGATAGTTTCTTTAGTTCTACAAGGGATTTCTAAAGTTACTCTGTAACTTTTAATTCAGTGGTGGGCAGAGGGCAGAGTGTATTTAATTTGTCAGTAGAGTGACAGATTTTAACTTAACTGAGGATTTCTCAATCACCTGCTACATCACAGCACAGTGCTACGAGCCACAGATGCACAAATGATGCAGTAACAGCCAAGGAATTTTGGCAGTGACAAGAACAAGACTTGATGATTTCCTAGAAAATGAAGAGATTCCAAGAAGGCTGGTCTGCCAAGTTTAATGGAGCTCTTGGTAAATTCTTCAAAATAATTTCAAATAGAATAAAATGATTTTAAAACATAAATTTTAGAGTTCATTCTTTTTTGTTAATTGAACATATTTCATTCATTTGCTAGTAATATTCACCCCCTCTCAGGACCACGGGCTTCCTGCTTTAAGAATGGGGATGATGCTGTTTTACAGCATTATGCAGAAAACTGAGATGGAACATTACTGTGTATGCAGTAATAACTAGGTAATGATTTTTGAGTGTTTTATATGTATTAGACTATTCTAAGCTTTTAAAAATTTACTAGCTCATTTAAACTTTACGGCAACTCAAGGAGATGGACAGGATTACTACTCTTATTTTAGAGATGTGGATGTTAAGGTGCAGAAAGCTTTTTTTCCTTTTTTTAAAGCCTTTGCAAGAGCATGCAGCCAGTAATTGGCAGAGTGGGAAACAAACGCAGGCAGTCCAGCTCCAGAGCCTGTGTTTTTGCCCACTTTCCTTTGTTGCCTCACTTCATCAGAGCAGCTCATTATATGTCCATTTACCGCTACCCTGAAATAAAAAAATGTGGCAGGTCCTGCCTTTCCAGAAATAAACAGTTACACTGTGGACACAGGACATATGCATAAAGAGAGGAAAAGCAATATTTAAATCAGGTTGTCAAATGTCAGCGGGAGGGTGTAACTACATGTTTTACAGAAGTTTGGGAAAAAAGCAAATATGGGGATGGAGAAAGCAACAAGAGTCTATAGTGCAGGTGGAAATTGACTCAGGCCTTGGAGGGAAACCAGAACTAAAACCAGCAAAGAGGAATTGGGAGTTATTTCAGACAATGGAGACAGCAAAGACGAAGAGTTTCTGTGTTCAGGAAATATGGCTCAATGTCCATGGGGAGGGAGGGTTTTATATGGGAACACTTAAGACTAGAGAGCAAGAGGCAGTTTAAAGTTGTTTCGTAGGATGTTTTAAAGCCCCAAGAGAATAAGGAGGACTTCCTGTTGGTGAGCCATTGGGGGTTTCTAAGTGGCTGAGTACATGTGTGCATGGATGCCAGGGCACACCAAGAAGTGCTTTCAAAAGGCTGATGAGACGGCGGGTGTAGAGCCTGGGTGGGAGTGGGGAGAGTAGGTAACGAAATGCACAAGCACACAAAGGTTTTTAATACACATACCTACATTCAGACACTTCCCAGTTATTGCAGCGACGATTATCTGGTTGGTGGCTGTTCCATGGCCTTTCCTCACTTATGGCTTGTCTTTGGGGCTTGTTCCCTCTTGTTAGTTCCTGGAGGCAGAGACAGAGTCAACATAATTTTCCAATTAGTGTTTTTTTTTTCTCTTCTGTTCCTCAGTAGCTGTGGTTAAAATTTTGTTTTGGGAAGGAGAAATATACTGTGGATGATCAGAACATTTCTTTTTTTTTAAATAGCACTTCCAAGTCTTTTTATTAAACAATTTTCTGATGAAGAGCAAGAGCTCACATTTGAGTCAGACCTCAGATTCTATCATTATTAATTCCCTTTCATCACAGGTGGACTTGTAAACTGAGAGCTACCCACATGTCCTTTCAGATAATATTCTTGTAGAACCTTGGTTCTGCTGAGGCTTTTAGGTGAGAGTGGTTAGATGTACCCTCCTTAAAAATGCTAATATTGTGTTTCCCAGAGGGGCCTTTTTATAGCCATATAATATTATCCATATCAATTATTTTTACATTTGCTACTACTTGAATATGTTAAACAATTGTGTTTCTTCCTCAGTTGCATATAGATTACCAGGTGACCTGAGTAATTCTCTAGCTGCAAAGTACATATTTGGCCCTAAAGCTAAAGCATTTTTATTAGAGGCATAAAAAAAAAAGAAAAACATTGGAAAAATGAAACAAATTGCAATGAAACAAATCTGCAATGCCAAACATTTTTAAATATTTATTTATTTCTTTGTTTATGTATTTAGAGACAGAAAGGAAGGGGGGGAGAAAGAGAAGGAGAGAAACATCAATGTGTAGTTGCCTCTTGAGCACCCCTACACTGATCAAATACTTCTAGAGAACAAGTAGAAACAAGTGCCTTCAGTTATATCAGGACGCAGCACGTCAATAGTGCCCACCTGTGAGCCGGAACGTGGGCTCCAGTACTTGTGAGAATTTCTTGGCATGTTCACAGGCCTGCTGACCTCAACATAAGATAAACAAAGCCTCAACGACTCTGAATTTGTTTTATAAACTAGAATTAGTTCTAAAGTCCTCAGATAAACAGAAATCATTATAATTATGAATAATTAAAATGCTGAACTCAAGAGGACACTCAACATTTATTATAGAATTCATCCCCTAAGGGTAGTGCCTTTAATTAGTTCAGTTTTACAACAGAAGAAAAATGTGACAATAACTAATTGCAGGTATTTAATACAAGGAACAAAACAAGCTATCTTGCCTCTAAATCGCCCTATCCCAGCCAGAAAGGCACTGCTCACTTTCAGATTCTTAACAGTTGTACTAATTCCAGGGCACAGAAAAGCAGCCGATTAGAGGAAAACATACCACCTTCAAACCTGTAAGTAGAAGCACTTCAGCTTTATTAGCTATTCTAGTGGAGTGGCTTAAAGTAGAAGGTGAGGTATTGTAATAGTTTTTAAAAAGAGTCTTTTAAAAGATATTTCATAAAATTCATCAATATTTGTATTCATTTAATTTACCAATATTAAGCACCTGCCATGTGTCAGGGTACATGTTAAAGGAGGAACATTCCAATATAAGAATTGGCCAATCATTATTTTAAATTTTTATTTATTATTATTTTTAAAATCTTCACCCAATAATATACTTACTGATTTTAGATAGAGAGATAGAGAGAAAATGGAGAGGGGGGGGGGGAGAGGGAGAAACATCGATATGAGAGAAAGACATCCAAAGGTTCAACAGGTTCCCTCCCATGTGCACTCTGACCAGGAATCAAACCTGCAACCTTCTGGTGCATGGGATGATACTCAAACCAAGCCACCTGGCCAGGGTGCCAGTGGTTATTTTTAAAACATACACAAACATTTACACAAATTTTGTTATATCAATGTAGTTGTATATTCTTACAAATACAAAGTTTGGAGCATACGAGGTCTGTCCAGAAGGTATCCAGCCACATACTATGAAAAATAGAGACATTTACTGAAGAAGATACAAGATACAACAAACACTGTATACAGGACAATGATGCCTCATTGATGCCTTCCAACTAGGCACCTTGGGACCTCACACATTCTCCCAGTTGTTATCAGCTGCCCTGTGGTATTTTCCTGAATCTCACAAATGGTCTGAAATTTCTTCCCTTTCAAAGGTGATTTTAGTTTTGGGAAAAGGCAGAAGTCACGGGGTGCCAAGTCTGGGCTGTAGGGGGCTGAGTCACCTGGGTGATTTGACGTTTCACCAAAAAACTCTGCATGAGACACGATGCATGAGTGGGCACTTTATTGTGGTGAAGCTTCCAATCACCAGTTGCTCATAGCTGCAGCCTTCTGAACATCTGAATAGTTTCTGTGGAGGAATCTTCAAGCTTAACTCAAAATTTGATGCAGATTCATTGCTCTATTCATTCAGTCATTTTGAATGTGACAGCCACACAGTACATGCTCACTCAATGGCATCTACCACCCCCAACTGACTAGTATAGTGAAATCGTCATTGTTCACACATGTGCATTCCAGTCCACTGTCTTCGGCTGTCAGGTTACATTGATGTCATGCAAACTGTTCTTGGTATATTAACAGTGCCTGGACTTTTTCCAGACAGACCTTGTATATCTACAATTTATTAAATTAAGCTATTCAAAGTCTTATTCCTCATTATTCTTGAAATTGTAATAAATTATTTTAATTAAAAATTAAATTAAAAAGTTCTTTAAATTTTTTCCCCTGAAAGAGTACTCCATCCTCCATAAAGTTTTTTTTCAAAATCAGTCTATTTTCTTTGTGAGTAATAAACTCTTTCTAATTATTAGGATGTTTCTAAGAAGTTTATAGGACTAAGATGTAGGTCAAGTTAGAAGTGGTTTAACAAATAGTAATTATGGCTGTGCATCCAGGATACCATCGTGAAGCAGAATTGTTTTTGCAATGATTTAGAATCAAATTGACAAGCCTGACCCCAAAAAGTTTGTCTTCTATTAAGGAACACTTCAGAGAAATACATTTTGTCTTTCATTTAGAGAGGAAAAAACTCATTAAAAAGAAGATACGAGTGATTCCAAAATGGTAAATCTCAAGTTACCAACTCTACTTTTCATGATTATTTGACTGGCTTATATTGAAATGATTATTTTGAATGCTTATATTTAATTTAAACATAATTAGTGAAACCTTGATGTTACTGCCTCATCCCTTTTGAAATTAATTAATTTGTAAAGTAGCTCAAAAAAGTGCTGTGAAACTTTAATAGTAAAGTAATTCAGAATCAGTTTGCATCTCCTGTTGGTTACAGTTGTGAGCCCATTGAGAGCCATTTATATTAGGTATGATTGCGGGCTCTCTGGCGTGACCATTACATAGTAGAATCAAATGTACTCACATGTCATTGAGGTGTCCTCTATGCGTATGAGAGATTCTTTAAACTACCAGGCAGTAATAGTCTATAATCAAAGATATGACTGTTTAAGCTTTAAAGAGATCTAAATTTTATAGATCTCTTTTCTCTTAGTACATTCAAAAGAACTACTGGTTTAGGCCGATGATTCATACATGTGCAACTAGCCCCTGCACTTCACTTTCTTTCAATCAGTGCAGTAATGTCATCAGAAAGTGTTTGCAAGGCAATGTTCTGAATTTAACTTCTATTTGAACAAACAACATAACTTATATACCAGGAACCAGGAGAAATATCTCCTGATTTACAGAATACGAGAATCTTCTAAAACACTCACCACAGCCACCCAGGCTCGGTTTCCTGGGGCAGTGAGAAACCACATCCATAAATATCCTATACTCCTTGGTGTGCAAAACTGCTATGCTCTGCACTTTTGTTTATTAATGGTATTGCTACCATTTTTTAGGTACCGAATATGTATTAGGCATGAACCAAATGCTGCACGAGGTGGTATTATTAGGCCCATTTTACAGATGAACGAAGTGAGGCTTGGGCAGGCTGAGGCACTTGCCCTGGGTCACATGATTATTATGGTAAATGAAGGAGGTAGAGTGTGAAGCCTCACTGCCTAGGTCTGCTCCTCACTGTCCACAGCTCTCCATCTCAGAGGTTGGAGGCATTCTCAAATCTGAGATGCTTACAACCAGCAAAAAATACTTCTTCCTTGCATAACAGTGGGAGTTAATTAAAAGGTGGCTTAACTATTGCCCCCAATATTAATATCCTCTCATACCAATAAGTGCAGAGTTTTCAAATATTTTATTAAAACCTGGGCCTTCTACTCTATAATGAGCCCCTATAGTTGGTGGAATCTTTTCTCCACATTCTCAGACATTAGCTCAAACCTGCTGTATCCCCACCCACCCTTTGGGAATTTTAATTCTGAGCAGGCTATAAAGTCATACTCAGCTTACATACTCTGGGAAGTTGTGTAGAATGTTTCTCTTCTCTTCACACTAGTACTATTAGGTAGCATACCAGGAAGCCTTGAAGCTATTCGGCATCTCAGTGACCTCAAATGCCATCTGTTCCTGCTTCTTTCAGTCCTGCTCTTTGGTTCCCTAAACAATGAATGACATATTCCCACTCAAGAGCTCTACTTCGGCACATTTTCTGCAAAGAATGTGGGTAACAAATACAGATATCTCTCCTATTTAGATATTAGATTGTGATCAAAGCCAATTATCGATTGATTTTAAGTTGAATACTTCAAGTATCAGTCACTCTCTGAACGCTGGACATCTTCACGAGGTCTGAAGGATTGGAACCATCACAGTAATCCTAATGGAGAGGTACGATGAGGACCCAGAAGGGGGGAGACATCCAGGCACATCTGCTGCGTTAATCTTGCTAAGGCCTTCAAATGCCATCTGTTTTCTCTGCTTTTCTGGCTACCATTTCCTCTAGGCTAAAAGATTTTAAAATGACTGGGGGTGGGGGTGAGGGAGACCTGAGAAACTAACTAGTTTGAGATTTTAATTCTTCATTTCATCTGCCAGCCACTGAAATGCAGTTAGCCGCAGCAAGTGTCCCTCACAGATAAGGGAATTGTTGCTTCACATATAATTACACTGGCTTTGCCAGTAGACAGAGCTGCCATATCATCTTCATACTGTTAGAAGTGCTAGTAAGTCTGAAAGGAATCCATTTGG